CTTGGTGCTGTGTTACTGACCGCCAGCTTGGTGCTGTGTTACTGACCGCCAGCTTGGTGCTGTGTTACTGACCGCCAGCTTGGTGCTGTGTTACTGACCGCCAGCTTGGTGCTGTGTTACTGACCGCCAGCTTGGTGCTGTGTTACTGACGCCAGCTTGGTGCTGTGTTACTGACCGCCAGCTTGGTGCTGTGTTACTGACCGCCAGCTTGGTGCTGTGTTACTGACCGCCAGCTTGGTGCTGTGTTACTGACCGCCAGCTTGGTGCTGTGTTACTGACCGCCACCGCCAGCTTGGTGCTGTGTTACTGACCGCCAGCTTGGTGCTGTGTTACTGACCGCCAGCTTGGTGCTGTGTTACTGACCGCCAGCTTGGTGCTGTGTTACTGACCGCCAGCTTGGTGCTGTGTTACTGACCGCCAGCTTGGTGCTGTGTTACTGACCGCCAGCTTGGTGCTGTGTTACTGACCGCCAGCTTGGTGCTGTGTTACTGACCGCCAGCTTGGTGCTGTGTTACTGACCGCCAGCTTGGTGCTGTGTTACTGACCGCCAGCTTGGTGCTGTGTTACTGACCGCCAGCTTGGTGCTGTGTTACTGACCGCCAGCTTGGTGCTGTGTTACTGACCGCCAGCTTGGTGCTGTGTTACTGACCGCCAGCTTGGTGCTGTGTTACTGACCGCCAGCTTGGTGCTGTGTACTGTTACTGACCGCCAGCTTGGTGCTGTGTTACTGACCGCCAGCTTGGTGCTGTGTTACTGACCGCCAGCTTGGTGCTGTGTTACTGACCGCCAGCTTGGTGCTGTGTTACTGACCGCCAGCTTGGTGCTGTGTTACTGACCGCCAGCTTGGTGCTGTGTTACTGACCGCCAGCTTGGTGCTGTGTTACTGACCGCCAGCTTGGTGCTGTGTTACTGACCGCCAGCTTGGTGCTGTGTTACTGACCGCCAGCTTGGTGCTGTGTTACTGACCGCCAGCTTGGTGCTGTGTTACTGACCGCCAGCTTGGTGCTGTGTTACTGACCGCCAGCTTGGTGCTGTGTTACTGACCGCCAGCTTGGTGCTGTGTTACTGACCGCCAGCTTGGTGCTGTGTTTACTGACCGCCAGCTTGGTGCTGTGTTACTGACCGCCAGCTTGGTGCTGTGTTACTGACCGCCAGCTTGGTGCTGTGTTACTGACCGCCAGCTTGGTGCTGTGTTACTGACCGCCAGCTTGGTGCTGTGTTACTGACCGCCAGCTTGGTGCTGTGTTACTGACCGCCAGCTTGGTGCTGTGTTACTGACCGCCAGCTTGGTGCTGTGTTACTGACCGCCAGCTTGGTGCTGTGTTACTGACCGCCAGCTTGGTGCTGTGTTACTGACCGCCAGCTTGGTGCTGTGTTACTGACCGCCAGCTTGGTGCTGTGTTACTGACCGCCAGCTTGGTGCTGTGTACTGACCGCCAGCTTGGTGCTGTGTTACTGACCGCCAGCTTGGTGCTGTGTTACTGACCGCCAGCTTGGTGCTGTGTTACTGACCGCCAGCTTGGTGCTGTGTTACTGACCGCCAGCTTGGTGCTGTGTTACTGACCGCCAGCTTGGTGCTGTGTTACTGACCGCCAGCTTGGTGCTGTGTTACTGACCGCCAGCTTGGTGCTGTGTTACTGACCGCCAGCTTGGTGCTGTGTTACTGACCGCCAGCTTGGTGCTGTGTTACTGACCGCCAGCTTGGTGCTGTGTTACTGACCGCCAGCTTGGTGCTGTGTTACTGACCGCCAGCTTGGTGCTGTGTTACTGACCGCCAGCTTGGTGCTGTGTTACTGACCGCCAGCTTGGTGCTGTGTTACTGACCGCCAGCTTGGTGCTGTGTTACTGACCGCCAGCTTGGTGCTGTGTTTGTACTGACCGCCAGCTTGGTGCTGTGTTACTGACCGCCAGCTTGGTGCTGTGTTACTGACCGCCAGCTTGGTGCTGTGTTGTACTGTTGGTGCTGTGTTACTGACCGCCAGCTTGGTGCTGCGTTACTGACCGCCAGCTTGGTGCTGCGTTACTGACCGCCAGCTTGGTGCTGAGTTACTGACCGCCAGCTTGGTGCTGCGTTACTGACCGCCAGCTTGGTGCTGCGTTACTGACCGCCAGCTTGGTGCTGCGGTACTGACCGCCAGCTTGGTGCTGCGTTACTGACCGCCAGCTTGGTGCTGCGTTACTGACCGCCAGCTTGGTGCTGCGTTACTGACCGCCAGCTTGGTGCTGCGTTACTGACCGCCAGCTTGGGTGCTGCGTTACTGACCGCCAGCTTGGTGCTGCGTTACTGACCGCCAGCTTGGTGCTGCGTTACTGACCGCCAGCTTGGTGCTGCGTTACTGACCGCCAGCTTGGTGCTGCGTTACTGACCGCCAGCTTGGTGCTGCGTTACTGACCGCCAGCTTGGTGCTGCGTTACTGACCGCCAGCTTGGTGCTGCGTTACTGACCGCCAGCTTGGTGCTGCGTTACTGACCGCCAGCTTGGTGCTGCGTTACTGACCGCCAGCTTGGTGCTGCGTTACTGACCGCCAGCTTGGTGCTGCGTTACTGACCGCCAGCTTGGTGCTGCGTTACTGACCGCCAGCTTGGTGCTGCGTTACTGACCGCCAGCTTGGTGCTGCGTTACTGACCGCCAGCTTGGTGCTGCGTTACTGACCGCCAGCTTGGTGCTGTGTTACTGACCGCCAGCTTGGTGCTGCGTTACTGACCGCCAGCTTGGTGCTGCGTTACTGACCGCCAGCTTGGTGCTGGGTTACTGACCGCCAGCTTGGTGCTGTGTTACTGACCGCCAGCTTGGTGCTGTGTTACTGACCGCCAGCTTGGTGCTGTGTTACTGACCGCCAGCTTGGTGCTGTGTTACTGACCGCCAGCTTGGTGCTGTGTTACTGACCGCCAGCTTGGTGCTGTGTTACTGACCGCCAGCTTGGTGCTGTGTTACTGACCGCCAGCTTGGTGCTGTGTTACTGACCGCCAGCTTGGTGCTGTGTTACTGACCGCCAGCTTGGTGCTGTGTTACTGACCGCCAGCTTGGTGCTGTGTTACTGACCGCCAGCTTGGTGCTGTGTTACTGACCGCCAGCTTGGTGCTGTGTTACTGACCGCCAGCTTGGTGCTGTGTTACTGACCGCCAGCTTGGTGCTGTGTTACTGACCGCCAGCTTGGTGCTGTGTTACTGACCGCCAGCTTGGTGCTGTGTTACTGACCGCCAGCTTGGTGCTGTGTTACTGACCGCCAGCTTGGTGCTGTGTTACTGACCGCCAGCTTGGTGCTGTGTTACTGACCGCCAGCTTGGTGATGTGTTACTGACCGCCAGCTTGGTGCTGTGTTACTGACCGCCAGCTTGGTGCTGTGTTACTGACCGCCAGCTTGGTGTGCTGTGTTACTGACCGCCAGCTTGGTGCTGTGTTACTGACCGCCAGCTTGGTGCTGTGTTACTGACCGCCAGCTTGGTGATGTGTTACAGACCGCCAGCTGGTGCTGTGTTACTGACCGCCAGCTTGGTGCTGTGTTACTGACCGCCAGCTTTGTGCTGTGTTACTGACCGCCAGCTTGGTGCTGTGTTACTGACCGCCAGCTTGGTGCTGTGTTACTGACCGCCAGCTTGGTGCTGTGTTACTGACCGCCAGCTTGGTGCTGTGTTACTGACCGCCAGCTTGGTGCTGTGTTACTGACCGCCAGCTTGGTGCTGTGTTACTGACCGCCAGCTTGGTGCTGTGTTACTGACCGCCAGCTTGGTGCTGTGTTACTGACCGCCAGCTTGGTGCTGTGTTACTGACCGCCAGCTTGGTGCTGTGTTACTGACCGCCAGCTTGGTGCTGTGTTACTGACCGCCAGCTTGGTGATGTGTTACTGACCGCCAGCTTGGTGCTGTGTTACTGACCGCCAGCTTGGTGATGTGTTACTGACCGCCAGCTTGGTGCTGTGTTACTGACCGCCAGCTTGGTGCTGTGTTACTGACCGCCAGCTTGGTGCTGTTACTGACCGCCAGCTTGGTGCTGTGTTACTGACCGCCAGCTTGGTGCTGTGTTACTGACCGCCAGCTTGGTGCTGTGTTACTGACCGCCAGCTTGGTGCTGTGTTGTCCTCCCCCACACCTGCCGTCTCCTCAACTACAGTCTTTATAAATACTTCATATTGTATACAGTCCAGACTTCCTCCATTACCTTAGTCTGGACTAAACCTGGTCAGTAGAGTCCATCAGTATAGTGTTAACACTGCAGCAGGTGCCTGGGCCGAGGTGGGTCCTCTGGTAGGTTCGGTGAGGGCACTTTAGTACCACACTTTCCTGTGGTCGGGAAGGGTGGCGAGAAGGGGCCGTGTCTGGTAAACTAACCCTACTACACAATGGACTTGGTCAGAATTCTTTACAGAGACTCATGACTTAATGCTGGGAATTAAAGACCTCCTTTATGGAGATAAAGAAAGCTTAATTTACAGTGCGGTTCAACTGCTTGTTACTTTACACAATATTCCCAAAGGTCTTGGTTGGGTGGAAGGATGTTTCCCGGGTCTTTGTTCTTAATCCTCTTGGTGACCGTGTGTGTGTGTGTCGCGCCTCACTCTAATGGTTACTATGCCAGTCTTCAACTGTTTATTCCGCTACCCTTTGTTATGTGGCTCTCTTTCACGACCCCTTTGTACCAACTTCCTCTAATTTCTCACTTATATTTCCACTATCCTGGCTGCCAGCTTTATAGACCCTTCTGGCACCCTTGTCTTCCTTACACTGTCAACAGGTGGCGCCCAGGTGACCACAGTGGCCGGCGCCCAGGTGAGCCACAGTGGCCGGCGCCCAGGTGACCACAGTGGCCGGCGCCCAGGGGACCCACAGTGGCCGGCGCCCAGGTGACCCACAGTGGCCGGCGCCCAGGTGACCCACAGTGGCCGGCGCCCAGGTGACCCACAGTGGCCGGCGCCCAGGTGACCCACAGTGGCCGGCGCCCAGGTGACCCACAGTGGCCGGCGCCCAGGTGACCCACAGTGGCCGGCGCCCAGGTGACCCACAGTGGCCGGCGCCCAGGTGGCCCACAGTGGCCGGCGCCCAGGTGGCCCACAGTGGCCGGCGCCCAGGTGGCCACGGTGGCCGGCGCCCAGGTGGCCACGGTGGCCGGCGCCCAGGTGGCCACAGTGGCCGGCGCCCAGGTGGCCACAGTGGCCGGCGCCCAGGTGACCACAGTGGCCGGCTCCAAGGTGACCAGTGGACAGTGGCCGCGCCCAGGTGACCACAGTGGCCCGGCGCCCAGGTGGCCACAGTGGCCGGCGCCCAGGTGACCACAGTGGCCGGCGCCCAGGTGACCACAGTGGCCGGCGCCCAGGTGACCACAGTGGCCGGCGCCCAGGTGACCACAGTGGCCGGCGCCCAGGTGACCACAGTGGCCGGCGCCCAGGTGACCACAGTGGCCGGCGCCCAGGTGACCACAGTGGCCGGCGCCCAGGTGACCACAGTGGCCGGCGCCCAGGGGACCACAGTGGCCGGCGCCCAGGTGACCACAGTGGCCGGCGCCCAGGTGACCACAGTGGCCGGCGCCCAGGTGACCACAGTGGCCGGCGCCCAGGTGACCACAGTGGCCGGCGCCCAGGTGACCACAGTGGCCGGCGCCCAGGTGACCACAGTGGCCGGCGCCCAGGTGACCACAGTGGCCGGCGCCCAGGTGACCACAGTGGCCGCGCGCCCAGGTGACCACAGTGGCCGGCGCCCAGGTGACCACAGTGGCCGGCGCCCAGGTGACCACAGTGGCCGGCGCCCAGGTGACCACAGTGGCCGGCGCCCAGGTGACCACAGTGGCCGACCACAGTGGCGGCGCCAGGTGACCACAGTGGCCGGCGCCCAGGTGACCACAGTGGCCGGCGCCCAGGTGACCACAGTGGCCGGCGCCCAGGTGACCACAGTGGCCGGCGGCGCCCAGGTGACCACAGTGGCCGGACGCCCAGGTGACCACAGTGGCCGGCGCCAGGTGACCACAGTGGCCGGCGCCCAGGTGACCACAGTGGCCGGCGCCCAGGTGACCACAGTGGCCGGCGCCCAGGTGACCACAGTGGCCGGCGCCCAGGTGACCACAGTGGCCGGCGCCCAGGTGACCACAGTGGCCGGCGCCCAGGTGACCACAGTGGCCGGCGCCCAGGTGACCACGGCGCCCAGGTGACCACAGTGGCCGGCGCCCAGGTGACCACAGTGGCCGGCGCCCCGATGACCACAGTGGCTGGCGCCCAGGTGACAACAGTGGCTGGCGCCCAGGTGCCCACAGTGGCCGGCGCCCAGATGACCACAGGGCTGGCG